TACGGTTAATTTATATCATTAGATTGTTAACTACTATTAGGTACTATGTAAACAACGGTGAACAGTAAATATTTTTAATTTTAGTTCTTTGTGGGATCAACAATTAAGAAAATAACTACTTCATATAAATTTTGAACGACATATTTATATCTGAAATCTGTAAACATAAAATTAAAAAGAACTAAAATTAGAATTATACTTTGAACAAATCTATCGTCTGATATTTCCCCTAGTAGCTGATAATTTTTAAATGTTAATTTGTATTTACTGTAAAATAAATGTAACATTGTAATTAATAACTTCTTTGATTTTGCAGCTACCAGACATAGCTAATTCCAATACTACCTTCAATGTACCAACCTGCAAGGTACATTGTTGGTAGTATTGGCATTAGCTATACTTAGGATTATCTGTAGACGTTAGTAAAAAAAAAATATACTAGGATCCAATTTTCAGATGGCGTTTCAAATTGATTGGCATAAATTTTTGACGAGTGGCAACTCTTATCCCCTATACTTATTATACTCTTTGGTCTAGACGAAGTAAATGTTGTGCCTTATTTTGTAACGTTTTTGGTTTTGCTAGATCCTTGAAATGGTTAAACGGATTCTTATCATATTTTTTACATGGCTTTTTAGGAATTAGTTTAAATTTGTTCTGCAATAAAAAAACCAACATAATACAAAACTTCAAGGTTATTTCATTAAATAGAAAAACACTTCAATTGTACCCAGCACTCTCAATAAGAGCTCTAAAGATTTATTTTAAACGTTATTTTAAAGCTTGTAACTGCGTTCAAATGTACCTATGTGAAGTTTCATTAGTATCGTATAGTAGGTAGTCTTGATGCGCGCGGTGTTATTTGGCCACTGGATTGGATATATGAACTGAATATAATGTCAATAATTAGTTGTTTAGTTCATTTGTATATCAGTAAATTTTCAGCTCAGTACATTGGATAATTAATGAGATAAAACGATTAAGTTCATTAGGAAGTGTGCGTTACCCAGGCCAGATGTTGTCGAAAATGGTCATTTGAGTCTTATAGATAATTAGTTGTGAGGGTTCTGTAATTATTGCGCCCATTTTTCAATTTGTTGCGTTTATAGTTTTTTAATTATTTCACAAAAACATTTCCTGCTGGGGTAACGTTACCCCAGCCAAACCTTTTTCTTTCTAATGGGAATAATTACTCGCTATAAAATTAGTTATCTGGATAAAGTAAATGTTGTGCCTTGTTTTGTATTTGTTCTTTCATCGGTTGCGAAGTTATTCGAGATTTTGCTGGGGTAACGTTTTTGATTTTGCTAGTTCTTTGAAATCGGCAAGCAGATTCTTATCACATTTGGTAGGTACATGGCTTCTTATTAATTAGTTCAAATTTGTTGTGCAATAAAAAAACCAAAATAATAAATAGCCTAAAAGTTGTTTTCATTAAATAGAAAAACACTTAAATTGGTCGCAGCACTCTCAATAAGAGCTCTAAAGACTTACTTGCTTGTAACTACCTTCAAATGTATGTGAAGTTTCATTAGTATCCTGTATTTAACAAGTGATGATGATATTGAGTTCTTCACGAGCACGGTGTTGATGCGCGCGGTATTATTTGGTTTAATTGTTTAGTTCAGTTGTATATCAGTAAAATTTCAACTCGGTACATTGGATAATTAATGAGATAATACGATTAAAGTCATTAGGAAGTGAATGACCGTGGTAACCCGACCAAGTATAGGTGGTTACGAAAAAGCAAAAACGTAGAACATTATACTATCTTTTGAAATGTTTAGTGTAATACACCTTACAATTTCAGTACAGACGCGTACACTGTTAAATACAGTAATAATATAATAATATCTGTACTATGAAAATATTATTATTATTATCTTCCGCTTTCCAGTTGTACAAACTTATCAAAAATCACGGTGAGACGCGGAAGGGGTGGGGCCAAGGGGCGCATTGTTTGCATATCGCACCAAACATGGTCTTTAATCAAAGACTACAATACTATATTTAATCACATAATTCATCTTGTAGAGTGCGCGTGCGTTTTGTGTTATGTTATATAGTCTGTACGCACCATATGTTTAGTGTTAACAGAAAGAAACCATTGTATATTATTTATTATCTGCTATCATTACCCAGTCCAATATGTGTATATTAAAATAAAACTGTAACTGTGTATACTGAAATCTATAATTTAATTAAAAAGTAATAGAAAATTTAAATTTTCATTAACTATCAATGAATGATATTGTGAATCAAGGTTGAAACAAAAATTAAAAGAATACTTTAGTTCCTTAATTTTTATTCACTGTAAGATTAAATAATATCCACTTTGCTGTCACATTTAAAAAGATAATATGTATATTGTACACATATAAAGAAGTTAATGAACATTGACATTTGAAAACATGTACTTTTGATCTCTACACAATGTAATAGCACATCGCCCTAACCTTTTCTTTTGCTTGATTTTATACGGAATACAGAGTGCAAGATCCATGTTTCAATTGAATATCAGACAAATATATTAATAGAATAACTAGTACAATTTATTATGATCAGATTGATAAAATACTAAGTTCTTCTATTGTTCTAGCAAAAGTATAAAAACCCTACAATTTCATAACAATATCCTAAAATTACAACAATTTCAAATGTCCAGTCACTTTGTCGATAATATCTTTGGGGGCTGGTCCAACACCGAGGACTGTGATGGAGTTCGGAGCAATCTGTGTCCTGCCAGCATCTCTAATTAAAGAAGTGATCAGTCCCATCTTTTTGGCATTGTCACAAATCTGTTTCACCTCATCTAAGGAGTCAGTCTTAAGAGCTACTTTTGCTTGGCCAGTGTATTGCCATAGTTTCAATCCTTCTGGGTCTTTTTTCTGCGCTTTTGCAAAGGCACCGACAGCTGCGTGACTACATTGAGCTGCAATCTTGCCTTTGCTCATGTTAAGGTCTGTCCTTACAACTAACACCAACTTGTATTCCGAGTCTGATGCAAACTGTAACAAAAGATATTATCATTATTAAGAAAATTATTTACTAAAAATATGGTCTTGTTTATTCTTAACAATTATTTTTTTTACAACTTAGTTATAAATAAAAAAAATTGTGTTTTATATGGGTAAACCCCTTTAAACTGTCAAACACCAAGCGGTCACCGGTGACCGCAACCTATTGTTCTATAATTGTGTCTATAATGACGGTGCTCGACGAGTTAATGCACACCAAAAGTAATGGTACATAAGACGGACTTCATGCCATGTGGCATTTTCTCCCAGTCAACCTTTGATTTAAGTAGAAAATTGCTAAAATGACTTGTGTACGATACAGTACCAGTAAACCATGATCAATTAATAGTTCTTCATATTCTTTTACATTAAATATACAATAGATAATCAGTTGTGATGTCGCTAATAAAACTGTTTGATAAAGTGAAATTACTGATAGTCTAGCATGCAAGCAAACATTTTCCAACAATTTCCCTTTCATTGGGCTGATGCAATATCAGGAAATCAGGAAATAAAATAACACATACCTAAACCTCATATACGTATGAAAGCATTGTCCAAATAAGACCATGTATTACGAAATAAAGTAAAAAAAATGTAATAAAATAGGCCATGGTCTTGCTAACAAAGAAGAGGTTACGATGATCTGTATAAATGCTTAGAATTTTATTATGTTCAAATAACAGTAAGATAATTCTCACCTTCGTCACAGCCTTTGTAGCTTCAGCAGCGGCTCCAAAATATCTTTTTAGAGCCAATAAAGAAATGCCGATGCAGATGCCGCAACCTAACCCGGTGAGGAACGAAAAGTTTAACTCCATTTTCTGTTTTGACGAAATGATTACACCTTTAATTAATTTATAGGTTGAGCCTGCTCTAGGCTCTAGCTTATATTTTATACTGTTCGGTGGATTAACTAATATCGATGTTAATCACTAAATACACACAATAGTTTCAGCTCGAGACACGTTTGGTTGACAATGACCAATGACTGACTGACAGACTGACTGACGTCTGACCTAGGACGTTAGCCAATATCTGTGGAAGACATGGTGTTTTTATGCGTGGTCCGGTAAGAAAGAGATAAAAGATATATTTTATTTCGAGAATGAAAGAGATGTCTAGTCTATTATGTTTAAAATGGCATAAATATTAAACCGGAACATTTAGACTCAGGGTTGCCAAGCCATGTTGAAAAAATTTTCATTTATTATGGTAGTCATTTGTGTTTTTTTTTATTTATTTTCCCATTGTCAGGACATTAATGTCTCTAAGTAATAATAAGTACATATTTATTATAAATAAGTTTATATTATTTGTAAATAAATAGACAACATTTGGTAGAATCAATGAAATTTCAATTTCCAAATAAAATTGATTGCTAGGCAACGAGCAATATTAACGTGTTTTACGTGTGATCTCCAATAAACTAAAAATTTCAGATTTTCTAAAGAGTTTTTTTTAATATTAATCGGTATATAAGATTACAATCATGAATTACAAAACTAAAGATTTAGCTCCCATTGCTATCCCACATGGACCACCTGTGGAATCCACTTCTGAGTACTTTAAGTCTTTGATGGAAAGTGCCAGAATGGTCAAGTGAGTAGCCCTATTCGATTTTTTTTTTTTGCTTTAAACTATTACGTAGGTAGTGGTACTACGTAAAACCCATCTTTTCTATTTACTCAGCTGTTTCAGCCAAATCTTATGTAGGTACTCATAGTCCTCCAAACACAGTAGCTTCTTTTTTTAATAATACGCTGTCGCTGAGATTGAGCAAGCGCCTGTTGCCCAAAACGTCACGGGTTTGATTCACGCACACCGGCACAGATCAAAATACATATAATATTTAGAAGTTTAGAATTCAAATTGTAGCGATTGTGTAATTTGTACGTTTGCAGAAAATATCCAGTATGGGACATTGCACGACCAACTCCTCAAGTTTTGATGGAGCAGGCTCGCCGGGACCTGATGGAGGCGGACATCAAGTTGGCACTCAAAAGAGATGAAGAGAAACGAAATCGAGTTGTCATGGACGCTAAGTGGGAAGACTTGAGGAAGAAAGAAAATCTGCTGAAAGAGTCCTTTATCAGTTTTAACAAAGTAATATATCGTATCTGTACTTTTTTTTATCGAGGTTTTTTTTTATAGCATAAGCCGGTAAACGAGCAGACGGATCACCTGATGGTAAGCAATCGGCGTCGCCCATGGACACCTGGAACACCAGAGGCGTTACAAGTGCGTCACCGGCTTTTTGGGGATTAGGAGTTTGAGGATCGTTGGGAATTCAGGGATTGGGGAGATTGGGGAAGGGGAAGGTAATTGGGTCGATATAATTGCTATAATAGTACCTACCTACCGGATTAAAAGGTCGGCAACGCATTTGCAACTTTTCTAGTATTAGAATTAAGAATGCGCATGAGCTGCGCTGATCAGTTACCTTACGAGATACGTTTGCTCGATCACATTCTATTTCACAAAAACAAACACCATTTCCTCAATGTTACGTGTAACCATCATCCATCAACCATATCAGAACATTAGAACTTAGGTACCTAGCCTAAAGCCTAGTCATTAACGTAACATCGTCAAAATAAGAGTAGTCAAAGAAAAAGTATGTAGGTAGGTCCTAATAAATATTCAATTTTCTCTCTGCACCCAGTTCATTCGAGAGAACCAAGAGAAGCGAGATCGAGCTGAACGTAAGATGCAAGCTGACAACGAGGTTCTAGAACGCAAGACGAAAGAGACAGAAGCTATGCGACAGAGAGTCATTGAGATGGAAGAAGTCAAGAAGCTGATGGAAAAGCAAGTCAAAGACTACACAATTTACGAAGTTAGATCATAAAGATGGACTTTTATTTAGTCTGTTCTCTGTCGAGTAAATTATTTATGTTTGTTTATTTTCTACCAGGATTACCTCATGTCGGTAGTGAACAATTATCCTGAATTCAAACAACCCCTGGACGTGCTCAATCGTTATGAAGCTTTGGGTAAGTACCAAACAGTACCACCCACTAGCCTACTAGGTACTAGTTCAATATCTGAAGATTTTAGTTTTTACTAAGCAATCAGTCGCAGAGATTTTAAGCTAAGTCTCTAAAAACTTTCCGTCGTGATCAGTGACTGGACTCCCAAGTTCCAAAATGTATAATTTCTATACATCATACTATCTTATGTCCAGGTGACCTAAGTGTTCAAGGTTATTGCTTACAGCTGCTGCTAAATCAACACTAGCTGATCGTCAAGAGCGAGATCTGGAGATGTTGGAGAACGCACGCCAGGAGATAGCATCGCTGACTGAGGAGAAGAAACTCTTTATTATGGGACTTAACAACACGCTTGCTAATCTCAGGGTACTAATCTCACTTCACTTGTTTCACAAAACAAAGTCAATCGCGCCGTCTGTCTGTCCCTATGTATGCTTAGATCTTTAAAACTACGCAACGGATTTTCATGCGGTTTTTTTTAATAGATAAGTAGAGTGATTCTTAAGGAAGGTTTATATGTATAATACATGGATATTGCACCCGCGCGAAGCCGGGGCGGGTCGCTAGTTACTAATACAATAAATGTTCAGGACCTATTATCGGCAGTACTAAATTGATATTGGATAATTTACTTCTTGGACTTGTCTAAAATAGTCCAAAAGATCTTATATTTCTTAAATACACCAGGATGTTGAAAAGGGCGGAGACAGTCTCTAGAAACAATATCTGTGACACCTGGTTAGTACGCGCAGAACATACACACATTGACACGAAGGACATCTGTCATTTTTTTATATTCGTTAACGTGGTGACCCATGCCACACACATAGACAGCCCACTGACATTTTGGTGCTTCAATCATTTCTAATTGATATTATGTCCGTCGTTATTCGCTCAATTATCGAAATGTAAACTCTTTTGCTCAAACTCCTCAGTGGCGCTACGACAAAATCCGGAACAGGGTGATAAAATGGGAGTTGGCGTTGAACCGACTGAAGGAGACTGCAGCACGGCGTCACGTGGAGCTGTGCCACGTTAAATCCGCTATTTGGAGTCTTTACGTCAAGATATGCAAGCAGAAAGGTATATTGGACGAATATCTATTTGGCTTCCCTCATTGCACGACTTTTTTTGTTCCTAAATATTGAAGAATTTTGGTAAAATCTAGCCCAAGAATCTACGGTTAAAGTCGCAATATAGAGGTAGTTTTTGCAAGCTTTTTCTTCGGATTTATTATCACCGCAAATCAGTTTTCAATAACCTATAGGTAATATACAATACATGTTGCATTAATAGGGCTATCTATCGACGTTGATACCAACGACTTCGAACAACAGCTGGTCGTCATCATGAGAGCTCTGCTGGAACTGCGCAGGATTTATAGAATCGCTCAAAAGAGGTCCAAAGAGAAGTAAGTCATATTTGGTGTTTGTTTACTTAGTCCTTAATTTCTTGCGAACCGCTTTTGTGATGTTAGTGGATGACTTAATTTGGGATAAAACGTGTCTGACATTAAATGAAAATTCTCTTTAATTTCAGAGATATAGAATCACGTGAATAAGCGTTACCTGAAAGGAGTGTCTTGAAAGTAGACGCGCTGATGATTAATGGTACCTACTGCAATCTGCGTAAAGGACAACTGGCAATGTGACTTCATAGTCTAATTAATATAACTGCACAGCACCACATGCCCCTAATCTATTCAAACGCCATCTGGTGGGAAAACGTAGAATTAGTTGAAAATGCACACGATAAAGCGCAAGTCTCCAAAATGCCAATTAATTTCTATGATTATTATGTTCAAAATTCGTTTATAACTGTTATGATTATTATTTAATTCGTAAATATTTGTTATTGTAATCTATTGAACTATTTAATAAATGTTTGAAAATTGCGCTTGTTGTTTTTGTTTGTACCACTCGCATCTTCATTATCTACGAAAATTCAATTTAAAATCAATTGTAAATGTTCTTACGCCCTGCGTACTTTTCCACGTAAAGGTTGCAAATTCAGAAAAATTCCTTATTAATACATAACCTATGGGTTAATACTTGGGTTAAGTTAACTAGGTACCTCTATAATTACAAGTTAATAACTTGCAAACTTAGTTCAAAACGGTTCCATTATCTGTTCTAAGTAATTGGACCACTTTCCTATACTTAATTACTTGTCCACAATTTAATTAGCAAAGTTTCAAACTGTGCTTGTTAATCTTTACAAAGTTTTGTAGACCCCGTATACATAGGGCGAAAGGGTTGAATAATTATATTTTTGGTACCTATTAGTTATTTGTAGGAAAGTTTACCTGCCACTTAAATAGTCAGAGGTTACTGCAGCGTGAGTACGTACCTAAAACTGCAATGACTAGACTAGAGGCATCACAAGTGTGTTACCGGCTATGTATTTACCTAGGAATCTGTTTAAATGCACCATTGTATTAAGGAATGGAATGTAGGTTTCCACAATGACTTCCACCGACCAATCTCAGCAAGGATTTGTCCATTTTAAGTATGGGAGAGCCATGCTTCGGCACGAATTGGCCGACTGGAGTGATACTACGGCCTCTCAGAAAACCGACGTGAAACAACGCTAGCGTTACGTTTCGTCGTTGGAATGAGGTTACTGGAGGCTTAATTAAGCCTCCGGTAATTACCCATATCTTAAATATCCCCAATCTCCCCAATCCCCAAATCCACAACTTCTTAATCCCCAAAAGGCCGGTAACGCATTTGTAACACGTCTATTGTTTCGGGTGTCCATGGGCGACGCTGATTGCTTACCATCAGGTGATCCGTTTGCTCGTTTGCCGATTTAATCCATAAAAAACGGGTCCTTGTATTACGGGAAATTAATGTGAAACCACCTTTAGAACAAGCGAAAGCATATAACTTGAAGCAACCGACGTAGAATGAATTAGAACACATTAGAAAATTCAATAAAGAATTAGCCATTAACATGGACTCGGATATAGACAAGACCACTCTAAATTCTGAGAAGCCAGAGCGTTATATTCACTATATAGAGATGCCCTTAAAATTGGTAGCTTGTTGGGATCTCTTCCCGAATTCTGTTATCGAGAAACGGAAGATTTTTAACGACATTTATCTCGGAATAGTATTATTCGTTCTCACGCATATACCGATGGTTTTAACCGTGCATTTGTATACCGAATGGCAGGACATTATGTCCAGTTTGGGGACGATAGCTGATGCCCTGCCACTTCTAGTTTCCTTAGTTATTGTTGCTTACTATGCGATATATCGCCGAGACTTATATGAGTTGCTAAATTATTTGGATAAGAACTTCAAGTATCGTTCAGCTCGGGGGCTGACGAATATGACCATGGAGCAGAGCTGTATGACGGCGCGTCGATTTGGGAGGATCTATACAGCTTGTACCATGTTCAGTGTCACCATGTATGCTACGCTACCTGTTATTGTTCATTGTAAGTAGAAAATTATTCTGGCTTTCTTTTCCGATGTGATTTGCTCTAGAAGCTCGTGTACCTACACCTACTTGCATATCACTATCAGCTTCAGATTCATGTTTTCTTCTAGTGTGGACTAAAGAACCAATTCAAAGCTGGATCTATATGGATGTAACTCAACCTCCTTTCTTCGAGTTTGTGTTCATGTTGTCATGTTTAGCGCAGATGTATGTTGGACTCGCTATGGGCCAGTTTGGTAAGTCTATCTACATTAAGTTCTTCATTCCCTAGGAACATAAAATATTATGTAGGTAATTATAATTCTAAGACACTGGCCTTATCTAGTATGACTTTCAACAGGAGTATTCTTCGCGTCAAATTCGATCCTGATCTGCGGGCAGCTTGACTTGCTATGTTGTAGCCTACGCAACGCGCGCTACACCGCGTTGCTGCAACGAGGCGTGAAACACGCAGCGTTGGTTGCATCGCATTCTGATATACAAAGAGATGAAGACCATAATTATATCTACAATTTCTCTGAACTCAAGGACTCTATGTATCATTATGACGAGAGAGTGGTATGTGGAGACGGTTACATAATTAATTAAGTACGGTAAAATGGGGTGAATTGGGTTTGAGCGGCGAAAAGGGACAGAAGAGGGGTGAATCGATACTATGAAGAATTTCCTTACACCTATTCACCCCTCTTGTGTCCCTATTCACCCCATTTTATTTTATTATATTAAGTCTATACGAGATACTAAATTAACCAAAATCACGGGTTACTCACGCGAATATACTGAGAAAAGCTGCGCGACATCGCCGCGACCGCGCACGCTGCTCATGAGGAAGAACCCCTCGGTGGTTCGAAACTAGTAGAGCTCTTCTCAGTATATTCGCGTGAGTAACCCGTGATTTTGGTTAATTAAGTCTAGAGAGATTCAAGGGAACAGCCTTTACCTACATAATTTGCTATACTTGTTTCAGACACACAATTATGTTGATGCTAAAACAAATTTTGGTGAGTAATGCTATTCCAATTAACTATTCCTACGTTCTACGCTAGATGAAACAATGAATTAAACAAGAAATCAAATGTTTTAATAATTTTGGAGAACGCAAAAAATTGTACATTTATATGACCTTCACGTCCGTATTACCTCTTAGATATCTACAGTCCGGAGTTTGATGATGCAACAATGGAAGCGCTCCGCGACTGCGCGTCTTTGTGCCAGGTCGTGAACAAGTACAAGGAGATGTTCGAGAGCTTCGTGTCACCGCTGCTAGCTCTAAGAGTCGTGCAGGTCACTCTCTATCTCTGCACTCTTTTGTATGCTGCTACCCTGGTAAGACAAACCTTCAAGAATCCCTAGACAATTTTCTTTAATATGGAGCCTACCTATGGAATATTTTGACAATAGAATTTTGTTTGGAATTAAACATGTCATTTTTCTACAGCAATTCGACATGATAACAGTGGAGTATTTAGCGGCTGTGGCTTTGGACATTTTTGTTTACTGTTATTATGGAAACCAAATAATTTTGCAGGTATGTTTATACAAGACTAGTGCACCACAAATGACTGAGAAGTAGAACGTGCAACCACTCGACTTATGAGACTTATGAGTGGTCTTCTGTTCAAATTACAATCTGAATATCAATTTGGGAATCAACTCGAGACTTGAGAACTACCTTTGTAACTTTTAACCGACTTCAAAAAAAGGAGGAGGTTCTCAATTCGACCGTATATAATAATATGCTTTTTCTAATAGAAGTAGTTTGTTTTATTGTTATAGTTGAGCTTGTGTTGCTTGCTAGAACTTTTCTAGTTAGGAGATACACCTACATCCTACATAGGTACTTTTCTACTCCTTTTCCCAGGCTGACCGCGTCTCGACAGCAGCTTACCAAAGCATGTGGCATACGATGGGCATCCGTCCTCGGAAGGTTCTCCTCAACATACTACTGGCTAACAGAAGACCAGTCGTTGTCAGAGCTGGCAAGTTTCTACCAATGGACCTGCATACCTTTGTCGTTGTACGTATTTTTGGTGTGGCAACATTGGATTAGTGACATTAGTGTTGCTAGTGGAGATATTTATTTATGATTTTAAATATGTGGTAATTAATGTGTTTTGTGTTTCAGATTATCAAGACCTCATTCTCTTACTACACTCTTCTAGTTAATGTCAATGAAAAGTAGAAAAAAATGTAATTTGTAAATGTTTTCTTCATAACTAGAATTAGAGAGTTTTATCACTTGTTTAGGGAAAAAGGCACAATAAATGAAAAAAATAAATTTTCAGAAGTATTTTATTTAAGAAATTAATATACAATTCTTTTCATACATAGATCAATGATTCAATTTGATCGGCAGTCAGCCGCGGGTATCAGTCTAACACATTCAATAGCAATTAAATAAAAGAAAAATCTTTATTTACTCCCGTTACTCTTATGCGACCTTTTTATTTTCCCATTATGGTAACTATCGGTGGAGTTTGGCAACACTGACGAAATTAACCGTTGATTTCAAAATCGAACATCAATTTTATAATTTCATGTTTTAAAATCAATGAAATGTAAATTTCATGGAATATTTTGATTGAAGTCTATACTAATCTCTAGTGAGAGATTATATATCTTTGTTTAAATATAATAACCAACGGTTAAATTAGTAGGTTGATAATTAAAACATTATGTAAGCAACCACGTCATTCGCGCGAAGCATAGTGCGAACTAGGATCGCATAAGGAGTTGGGCGACAAAGCAACGCTACATATAGTCCTATTGACCGGCCTGAGGGGACGGTGTAACCTTTAAAACTAATACGCCCACATATTGACCACTTGGCTCCTATATAAATGCTAATTAATTCTAACCAATTTAATTACTATTCGTTACATTTGACTGGAGATTTTACTTGTTATAAAAATAAACTATATAAAGCCGATTCGTGTCGTCAATCGGGCACTGTAAATGCATGGCGAGACAGTTAATTCTACATTTACTGGGATATAAACACTTGCTACTTGACATAGAATTTATTACTTAAAAAGTTATATGAAACTTACAAGTAATTACAATTTAATTCTAGATCATTCCTTATAACAAGATTCGTCCTTGTGTGGGAATGTACGTATTTGTCATATGTTTAGGAAATGTTTATAGAGACCGTACTAAGTTCTAGCATCGCGAATCGTAAACCAAATGTCACAAACAGTGGGCGCAATTTGTTCATTATATTTACCAACAAACTACGGCTTCGTTACAATATTTATGCTTACTACTTATCATACTTCCAATATTTCCATCATTTAATTATTCTGTCATCGTTAAATTTTACTGCGAGACGCCGCGGTTACAGTTCCGACGTTCAATGTTGAAATAATCTCAAATAAAAAAGAGGTTGCGACAAAAAGTCGCTGTTGTCGTCGAAACTGTAGTCGCAGTCGTGGGCTAACTTACATTAATTGTTTGAATATTGATTACGACACAAGCATTCTGGGAGCCAGTCATACGTACACGCATTTGCACAGACATAATTACGCGGCATACAAGTGCATCCGTCCACAGGTAAATCGCCCACGGGAAGCCCAAAGCCGAGAACGGAACAGTCTAATTTTATTATAAAAACATACAAAGACGCTGTAACCTCTTGAAAACTTATAAAATTGCATTGTGGTCGTGAGTACTACAATCCTATTGGCTATTACAAATGAGGCCGAGATTATTCGGTCGTTACAAGTAAATGATGTAATGGTGTTCCCTATCGCACCCGTCTGTGGGACACAATCGTCCAGCAATTGGTCAATGTTTCAATGTGCAGTAACTACATTACATAATGAAGGCCAACGAGATAAACAATTAAGAACCTTATAATTCACTTCTTTTTGTAACATTGTCGCTCAAAAATCAACCAAGACAACGAGCAAATAAAGTCGATTGTTATAACAGTTCTTGTTGACCATTTTATGTAGTAAAAAGAACGAAGCAAGTTTACAGGAGACATAACAAACAGGAATTATTTTCCTTGCAGTCCTTATACATAAAACTAGCTGTTACTAATGTTAACATAAACTTCTTACTTTAAAACAAAGTAAACAATCAATTAGGACTCGCTTCGTTATTTTTATAACACCTGTACAAGAGAGCTGAAATATTGTTAACAAAATAATTTCGAATAAAATCAGCGAACAAACTGTAATTTAATTCGGAAGACAGACGGTAAGGGAATTTTCGATAAACCGAATATTCATTCATAATCAGCGATTGAACAATGTAATTAGAAAATCACTAATCAAATTTATATATAATCCATTGCGCGTTTAAAAACTTAACATTGAACGGAGAACGATAGAAAACGCGCAATGGAACTTAATACTAGCAAATTGTCGCAACTTCCCTAAGTCTGTCTTCGAATATTTTAAAAAGGTAGGTAACAAGTAGGTACGTGGGTGTCCATGCGAGTCGACGGCAGAGCGGCGCGGGCGCTGGGTGGGGCGATTAACTGGCCATCGGGAACAAACACAAAACAATACGTGAGATGATGTCACACAACTTGGTACAGGAATGTTTCAATAACATAATTATTATTATTACAGATCCATTTCTTTGATATAAAATAAACATTGGTAATAATGAATGATAATTATACAATATAGGATTCCTACAACCACGGTTGTGATGTAGATCGAAAGATTGTTTTTGGCGGCGCGAGTTTGGACTGAGACATTAGTGCACTGTCACAAGTTGACAATAACAAACATTAAAGTACACATGCTAATTACAATCATGAAAGCATGCTTCAATCTAGAACTTGTCACTCAGTAGCATGTATGTTGGAATGTTGCTTAAAATTAGCATGCTTTTCAGGCATGATTTCGAATCGATGGGCGTTTAATTCTTGAGCATGCTCAATAGAACGCATTTTAGAGCATGTTTCACAGTGCCTTTAGATATGAACCTCCTTTAAAATCATCGAAGTACTAACTATTTACTTTTCGCACCGCCAAAAGCCAATCAAACCATGCTTTGATATAATGGAACATTTTCTGATGACACCTTACTATTAACAATTTTACGTTAAAAAATCAACAATACATAATAATATTTAAAACACATCTTCATAATTTACATCCAGATTTTACTAATTAAAAAAATAAACAGATCGAATAGAATTATTCATTAAAACAAACCCGTAATAGCTATAAAAGTATAGCTAAAATAGGTTTATAATTCATTTTATGAACAGCACAGTTACTACTACTATTACAATGATAAAAAAGATGTATTTGTTAGGCATTTAGTTTTGTGCATCTAACACGACACTGGTGAATGTTACCAGTTAAAAAAATATGCTTTTGTTAATTATGGCAAGATGCATAAACGGCACACTGTTCGGTACCTTTATTGTGGGGCTGCTTCACATTATATCTCTGTGATTGCAAAATAAATATCATTACTATCTTGTAAAGTAAGGAATAAAGAGAGATACTAAAACACCAGAAGTAAAAACTTTATCTAATATTGTAGAACAGAAATAGTATATTAAAAATTACATTGCAAATTATATTTAAATAAGTATCCAAGCAATATATATTTACGACACGTTTAAAAGTACGAAAAGTCTGAAATAATTTGACAAATTACAACCCATTTAAAAAATAAATATAACCCAAATCCGAATCAAATGGATTAACATTAAGAGATACATTCCACTAAGCCACCACCATAAATAAATTAAAATACTCATATCTTGCTTTAGTGTATGTTGTCTGTCATGTATGTATGTAGTTTTGTCTGAGTCTGTGTGAGACTGTATTGCCAGATCAAGTCCCAATTTATACTAATATCAGGGTGTCACAAAACCTAAGGTTTATTTACGAAAATTCAAACTACCGTTTTAAATGGGGAATGCTTTTATTTTACACGTCACTTAAAATATTACACTTACATTTTTAAGCCCCAGCTGTTAGCATTACATGTCTTATTAACTATTTATTCGCATACAATTTCACATTATTATTATAACCAATTCAATTCATTCTCAATTAAACTAATTTTGGCATAGTCTGGCAATATAGCAATGATATTAAATAAAATTGATCGACTGAATTGGTAATTTATTTCCTTCATAATCTGGCAACACAGCGTTAACCAGTAAGTTAGCAATACTAGTGACGTGATGCACAGAGTATCGATAACGGAAGCGCGGAGAAATCTGCAGCGCTTATCATTAGTTTTGTTGGGACGAGTATAATTTGACTCACTACCTCGAGATCAAAAAGATATCGTCCAAGTTGGCAATCGATCGAACGCACTGTTCATGTGATCTAATAACAATCCGATGAATTGAGGCAGAGATAGCTCTAATAAAATAATTAACATATCAAAGGTCACCCGCACAAAATTCAATTACGGATATTAGTACATTACAGTCAATTCGTAGGTTCGTTGCCAATTAGCCGTCGCGACAGCAGCTTGTATCTATCCATTACCATGCCCTATTACCAAACTCACACCCTTATTTTCCCTATAATTTCCATTGTATTACTGTTTACATAGAGTAGTAAGTATGTAGTGTTCAATGTTCATCTTTAAAAATGGAAATAATTCTCACTGGTCAAGAAAAATTGTCGCGTCATTTTGCCGACTGCTGATTGGTTATTTTTTGAGTCATGTCTGAGCACAACATTCTTACTACTTGGTGCATGTGTACATTGTTAGTGCAACAGTTCTGTGTAAGTGTGAGGACTCACTTCTTTTTGTTCTTGGGCTGCGCGCGCGGCGGCGTGTTGGGTCGTCCCATGTTGAGGCCGGAGTAAAGCTTGCGCTTGTCGGCCGGTTTTAGGATCTGGAACGAGCACATTAGTGTCTCGTCCACTGACATGAGGGCTCCTGGAATTTGGAAAGAAAATAATATTAAAATTGTATACTTAGAATCAGAAAATTGTTGCGAAGGAACTTATTCTCTATAGGAATCTGTAGACTAAGTGAGAAACTTCATAGTTCTTTTTTAGACAGATTTGCAATATGGTTTAGAGGGTATACTGACCGGCGTTATCAAACTCGCCGCAGTAGTTGGGCGCCGAGAAGAGGGTGACGAGTTGTCTCTTGGCGAAAAACTCGTAACCGTCCTCCACGACCTGATGCGCGCGGCAGATCAGGTCAAACTCGTGCTTCGACAGGAACTTGCCTACCACCTGGAAATTATAACGAACATATTTTTAGTATAGAATAGAAGTATATTATTAATATTTTGTTTTAGAGAATGGATTTTTGACGTTGATCAGTAAGATTGTCTATAAAATGTTAATAAATGTACAGGACTTTTTTTTGAGGGGTAAACCATCCAATAACTTCTCTCGCCCGGGTGAAGCGAGAGGGAGTGTCAGACTCTCATTGACTAAAAACCACCCCGTTCCTACTCCTGCACTCCGAGCCGGAGCCTCATCAATCCGTTAAGTCCTCCGCGGCTCGAAATGTACAGGACTTATGCTGTTATTTGGGGGTTCCAATAAGAATTAAAAAGAATTAAGTATAATTTGATTTCTGTTAAGTTTGTTTAGGGAAATATTAAAACGAGATGGTCTATACTATTTTTGTGCTATGGACGGTAGGTCCATTCTTTACTTTCCTTAAATAATTATATTATTTATATTCATAATCCTTTATTTCCTCCCATTATGATGCCTCCACCGACACGTGGTTAGACATACCTTCTACATAGACTTCTAGTTTTTCATATCAAACACAAATAGTATAATCAGTGGCAGACTGCGATAGTGCGTAGAGGTCATCCATGCGGACGCATTCTAAGCACTACACGCGTTGATAGCAAACATTTACAAAACTATCTGCAATTCTTATCATTATGCTATTGTAATAGAGTTGAAAATTGATTGGAAAGACTCCTAGATTTGGGGTACGTTGATGTGCTGTAGAGATTACTTCTCCAGCTTGTTTGTAACGTTTCTATTTATTTAAGATACTGGGGGCTTTATTTATATTTTTCTTTCTTTGAAATTGTGTATGAAAAAATGATGTGTTAATTTTCTTGGAAGACGTCAATGATTAATATGTATTTACGTTATGACTATCTCCTATACGCATAGTTGTAAGCTTTCATATATCCTTATACTAAAATTATAAATGGAAGTAACTCTGTACATCCATCTGTCACGCTTCTTCATACACAAAAGATTAACCGAAATTGTATCTTTGTACTACATCGAGTAGTACAAAGATACAATTTAATTACAAAAAGAAAAATCGGTTTATCATTCAACAATATCATTCAACAATAGCGAATGAATGATAACCACTTCCCTATTCATCGTAGTCGAAGCAAATATGATCCAAAACTTCGGTAAACACGAAGAATTGGTTAAAACTGTTCTCGATTTGGCAAACTATATTAAGTCTCATATAACACACTGGATTTCATTTGGCACGTGGATGCCGACATATGAGACCGAGTAATCTTCCTGTCAGAATTATTCGCTTGTGAGTTACGTACAGACACATCGAGCTATGCACAACCAGTATAAACTACCCGTTGAACGTCCGGAAAGATTATACAAAAAGAGATCATGATAAATTGGTTTTGTAGAGCTTGATGAGCATTTCGGAAGCAGTTTTATTGCATCATAAAACTTGCCGCAGTCTTTCTATTGCCGCTATCTTTGTTCGGGTCAGAAACGGCCCTAAATGTTTAACTTCTAGTGTTTTATAAATTAGGTCTCTGAGTAACGGCTGCCTAAAGAAAGCTAGATTAATGGTCGTATTCAGTTTTAATAACTTGTAACAAAATGTTCTGAAAATCAGATTGGTCCTTATAATCAAGTAAGAAAAAACAAATGCGTATTTTTTTCGATACATACTACAATGACAACAAACAAGTTAACTAGCCGCCAAAAAGAAAGGAGACACCGTCGCCGAAGCCTATGGATGTCTGCAATATCAGAGGAATCGTGTTACCGACCCTTTTCTATATTTACATCAATAGGAAACGTGTGACTCATACTTGAGTTATTGGAGTCGGCAAGAACAATTTCTAGGCAAAAGTACTTTGATCCTTTGACACGTCCATATTAGTTTCGCTGAAAATGTTTTCGATATACAGGCACAGAATTGGTTGGCAGTGTTTAGATGCGAAAGATTGAAGATTGAGCTCAGTGGAGAATGCCTATGTCCAGCAGAGAAAAGGACTGCTGTTGATGGGTTCAGAGATTACGTAGTTTCTCTTACCTCAGTTCCAAATGTAAAGCTGACACCACGGTCATTTTCTCCCCATCCGGCGGTGTCCTTGTCAGGGTCAGACCACAACAGGTCACAGAGCAGACCCTGGTCGGGCACGTCAGTCGGCCTCATGATCCGCCGGATCTGTTCCATCGCCTGCAAGTCTGGAGATAAGCCGCCGTGGCAGCAGAATATCTTCTCGTCAACTGTAACAATAGAGAAGGAGGTTAGGAATTTGAAAAGCACAATGAAATATTAGGAGACGCTTGATTGGAAGATCATCCACTTTAGAACTATGTAAGGTCGTCAAACCATCATTTTAAAATTGCGATTGTGACAACGCACCAACCAATGCTGAATTAAATATACCTACGTATATTATTCTTTATAACCAGTGAGACTTGGAAAATAACTCAATACTTCTAAAGACAACGAACGGTCTTCTTTTGAGAAGCATTTGATAATATTTTTGCAGAGTCGCGTCGTTCTAAGGATCGATTATGAGAAAATTATGATTCATGAGACTGGGAGGGCGTCGACACTGTCTACCAAGGTAAGTTAGTAGATGAATAACATCTCTAGGGATTCTCTGTCATGTTGGAAACTAGGGCCGTACTTATACTTGACAAAATGTTAGTTCAAGAGGGCATGAACTTGAGTACTGAGAAGTAATTTGGTTAGACCTAATTTGTATGATCTTTGTGCACACATAGTTTCAAATCCAGATTCATATGAACTAGATTATTTTGATAGTGTTGTGTACGATGTATTTATGAAGGACTTCTCAATAAGAAAGACTGTACGGACAGGGTTATCGGAGTCAGCCGTCCGGCGCCAAACATCAAACACGATCGTGCATCAGTGGTTAATTAATTTCATTATGCAACCGAGTTTCTGGAAAAACACGATGCGATTGAATGAAGCCTGCCATTACTGTCAGTAATCTTTAGTTTAAACATTATCCTATGGAATTCTACTGAATAAAGATGAATGAAACGTTCTGTTATTTAATCTAAAAATAGCTTTCTTTCTAGGTATTTTATGAATAAAGACGAAGTATATTTAAAGACGAGCCGAGGTGAAGGGCGATGAAAATTCGATACAGACGTAAGGTGACCTTGCTTATTAATTTTAACTAGAAAAGAGATGGCTAATTAAGGTTTTGAATAGCAATAAACTTGATTGTGTGCCTATTAGCTCGCAAAGGTCTTTTTTCGCTTAGTAAGCGTCTGACCTATCCCTCCTTTGAAAGCTTTCAACATCATTATACACGATTCTTTCAATAGCTGGATTTTACAATGAAGGGACGTTTTGATACGAAAATATCACAAAGCATATAAAGACTAAATTGAATTTGTAATGGAAAAATGGCTCCATCTTCTGAAACGACATCCCAAAATATGTTATAAATGAAAGTAAGGATCCAATCTGGGTTCAAAATGGAAAATCGATACAATTTGTGAACGTATTCTTGTAGTAATTGCCTTGTGTCCAAAATCCATGAGCAAATACTCTTTGGCCTCTAGTCGAGAAATTGGAGCGGGAGATTCGTGATTGGGTACTTCGAGCCTAAATAAATATCCTTGGAACATTTAATTCCACATAAAAGAAATCTTGAAAAGATTTAACAATATTTACTTACAATCTTTAGAGGTCTTGTTTATGTTAGCTCATTAAAATGGAACAATAAAATATTAAAACGTTTTAGTATTACCACACATGAGAAGTTATTTTCAATTCTCTAAGTTAATGCCGGAGAGGGGGCTCCTATGAGCCGGTAAGCCATTTATCACCTCCCCCAGTTTTCAATGCCGCGACCTTACAGCATAATGCACGGTACATGAATCACATAAGAAATATTGGCCTGACTAAAACATTGCTTTAAAACTACCGCTGACAGAAATACTGTGGTACAATTTTACTCGTTTAGGATTTCATATTGCGACGTAAAATATCTTAGAAACTGATAAATGGTAATGAACAAAACGTACATAATCATAAAAAGGGATGTTCATGAGATATCTAAGCCATATATCTTCAGAAGCGCTAAATTCATTAAGTTGAAACCTGGGAGTCGTAACAGGCTTGGTCTGAATATAGAAACCATTTTGTAAGAGTAAGGTCGTAGTTTAAATAAATTACTAACGATATAGCGAGAAAGATGGAAGGCCTACGTTCTGTGTGAAATATAAATGTATGAATCGTGTGAAGACAACACCACTTTTGGGTATCCAGTTCGAAGGGATACATTCTTCTAAGCTCTGTGGACTATAGATTTTGTCAAGATAAGCAACGAGTAAGTATGTATAATGTAGACTTGTATAAAAATGAGGCCTACATTTCATCGTATAAAATTGATGGGATCATCTTGAAAAACTCTCGAGGTTATCTACTTAAATATGCGTGTTTCTTCGTGCAAGAATTTCAGGAGCTTAACGAGATAAGATGTTAAAGTGAAAAGAGGAGTCAAGTATTCTTTAAGGTCTTATCGGGACGTTGAAGAGAATTAATTAACTTTTGTTACAAGGTCACAATTTCCTGTCTATTCTAAAGATTGTACCGTAAATGACAATATTTGCGTGTGTATTCGTGGCAAAAGCTAATTAGCACGTGGATCTTCGAGCCTCGTACGCGCCAACGTACAAATTTTACTCCGACGCAAAAGATCAATATTGTCTCCTAAAATTGCGTGACATTGGCGCAGAATTTCGGGCGCTGTATTGCCGCAGAGCATGTTCCTAGTCTCATACTAAATAGGAATAGTAAGCAATTGATAGGACTTTGTGTGAATACCTACTAATAATGAGTCATTTTCTTAAAACACGCGTGTCGTCTGGGAGTCTTAAAAGGATTTGGCATGACTGTTAGTTTGCTATGAAAAAACTGGCCGCACAAGCTTCAAGTACGATTACGCTATCGCAGTTATCTGGAAACGTGCCAAATCGCTTCCATCGCACCCCACGCAGAATTAATTTGATAAAAACGTGTTTACGTGTGTCAAAAACTTTTGTTATTCATATAAATTACATGATTTTATAAGTTTAGGATAGTGTACTGACGATGAGTTTAGATGTTCATAAATTGTGTTTATATTAAACGATGTGTCAATGTCCTCCTAGTAATAAACAGCAGATTAAAAGTCTGCAAAGTTTCAGACAAGATTAATTGATTCTTTTCAGTTCTACATTTCAACTAATCTATTAGTATTGGCAATGAAAGTGGATTAAACTACACAAGATTCCACAAGAACTTCGAGCATTACTAAGCTGAGAAAAGCTGTTTAGTGCTTATCTGCAAAAAACTATAAATTGTACTCATTTTAAGAACATTAATCGCAGTTTGCATTTGTTTTTATGAGTGGTACTTTGGGTGATGGGCTAAAAACCTTTTACCACTTATGTTCTAATGTAGCAGTCACTCAGCCAGCGCATTAAGGGCCCTAGTACATTAACTATTGATACAACTTAAGCACAAGGCACTTTAGCACGTGTGGAGACTGTAACAAGATGGCTTGTCCTTTAAACTGTTATATCATCAAATCCATGAATCAACATGTTCTACGGCTCAGAGCTCACGTGTGCGCCAACACGTGAACGAACATCGGCGATCGGTAGCAGATCGAATTGTTATTTTACGTCGTAGATTATAAACTGTTCAACGCGTTAATAATTCTAAACAATCGCTAAAGTTATGCAAACAAGTATATTGTAAGATTAATTTTAGTAGTTATCTTATTTTTGGTTATTGTTTAGTTTATCTTCTAGGTAGTCTGCATTTTACAGTTGTCAAAATTCATATGAATTTAGATTTTATCTTCAGTTGCAGTATCACGATTCCAAAAAATGTCTGTCTGACTTACATACTTATCAAACAGTACATATAACGATATCAATTTACAGTCTGTTGATGCGTTTCAATTGAGATGGGATTGTATGCTAATGCGTGGGCGCCGGTTTGAATGTATGGTCGACCACGTGCGCACGCACGCGAGAGTACGATCTGCGCGCGCTTCTATCGTAATTTTACGATACGTTTGTCATTCGATTTGGCTTTATACCTTCGTAATTGAGCGTCTACTGTACCATGTCAGAGTAGAATCTAGCGTGACATCTATTTCTGTTTGTTTGCTTTGTAATTGTAACCAATTAACAGACGTAAATGAGATTTCTTTGTGTCATGTTTGCGGCTAGTCATTATTTGTACTAACAGAGTTCTGTTCCTGATCCCCTTCAATAAACATTTTGCAATTTATTTCCAGAAATATAAATCGTACGTATGTAGCTAATTTTAGCCTCTTTATTAAACAAGGTCCCTTGACGAACAGGTACAGTCCAAAGCGCCTAAGGCCGGAGTTCCCATTTAGATCCTTCTCTTTCATATTCATAAGCTTATTACGTGAAAATAAGCCACATTGGTACAGTAAAGGTTAGCAGTAACTGTTTCTGTATTCCGAGAATGTTTGCTTGGGCTCACGACCTAATTAGGGAACTTAATGTTGAGCCGAATTGAGCTCCTTTGAGCTCTGAACATAGTGGAATTAATGATGACGATTCCTGATTAATATTCAGGGGATGTCGTTAGCTGATAATAATTCTGTAAATTTTCGGTTGCTGGGTCTAGATTGTTCTTGCTTTATTGATTTTACGTGTAGTCTAACGTTCTAATGATGAAGTATGAGTCTATTATGCAAAGGTAATGGGCAATCATGAATAAGAATACGTATAACCATTTTGTGAATACAAATTGTAACCAGTTGAATGCATATATTTTATAAAATTTGATATGTTGACGTCAGAGGCAGGAGAGCGAAAGTGGCGCGGGGCTAGGCTGATACTTACGGGAGGCATACGTCAAACTGGGACGAGTTTATTTATTCAACAGACCCGTGTTTTCGTTTTGGATTTCCCTCTGTTTATGACAGGATATTATAAATATTGAATGTGTTATGAAGTCGAATATTTCCATTGAAACGGAACAAGGTGAACAAAATAATATATTATAATTTCTAAATAAACGAAATGTTGAGGATACGCAATCCAAATGAGAGAGCCACGTTATTATTGTAAGGATCGCAATTCTCTATTTCTACAAATACCGAGTCGATGAACTGCAGAATATAATTTAGATTGGCTGTCAATCAATGAATACAAACAGAAGTTCGCAATCGGATGACGTCAGCGCTAACATATTTATGTATAACCATCAA